TTATGCTTTAATATCTGTGTATAACATGAACATTATATGCAAAACTTTAATTTAAAAATTTTTTGACTAAATAAGTACATATTGTATACTTGCTCATATCCTTTTTATAATATTTCAATTACTTTCAACATATTCCTTCATATTTTATTTGCTGCACAAATTTCAAAAAAAAAATAACATCATTACGTATGAGCACCTAAAACATTACAGTACTTACATATACATGGAGTACATAATGGGTATAATAATGCATTATAATGTATACATACATTTTCACAACGTTATTATTAAAAGACAATATGAAATCACTATACTCAATGTTATATAACATTCAAGCGCATGTATACGTACAGAAGCAAGAGTTGTGTAAGCGTAAGTAAATTATAATTCAACAATTTTGAATTTCAAATAACGTAGATATATTTATATTATGTTCGTGAATCGATATATGTATATTATGCCAGTATTTAAAGAAAACAAGTAAAACATTAAAATTGTTTAATAAGGGAAATGACACAGACGAGGAAATTCAGTCGTAAAGTAACTATATAGTGGAAAGGGTGCGTTTATCAACAAAATTAGTGTCAAGTACAAGAAGAAAAAAAAAGAAACACAAGAAACAAAACGAAATTGTTTTGCTTTTACAAATTTTCATGCCATTTCAGTAGTGTTTTAGAAATCCGAAATATTTCTGTAGTTAAGTTTATTTGGAAATAAGTAAAATTATTGTTATTCTAGAAATTCTTTGTATAATTATTCTAAAATTTGTTTGCTTACAAAATTGAAAAGTCATGTAAAAAGAATTCCACATTATATTGAACTTCCGATGACCAAAGATAATTTGGAATATATTGAAATTACTGGCCTGTTGAGTCATTAAGATTCCTTAATAAAAATTTTTAATTTCCTTTTTTAGTGAAAAATTAGTTTTGAAGAAATTTCGTAAATAAATATAAAAATAAACTGACTAACAGGCGAGTTAAATTAAAAATTTTCCAAATTTTACTGGAAAAATTCTAAAAAAGTTAATAAAATGTTTAGTAGTAGGCGGCTGAAATTCATTCATTTGATATTCCATCATCTTAAATTACAAAATTTCAAAAATAACTTTAACATCAGAAAAGATAAATAAATAAAATTGGAAACAATTTAATTAAAATAAAATTGAAATGAAATTGGTACTTACATACATGTACAAATAACTTACATATGTATATAATGCCAATATTTGATTAATTTTCTAGGAAATGTGAATTTCAAAATAGCAATTGAACTTTGCTATTAAATCTCAACTTTTCATTTTATAAATAAGCAATGACAATATTGATTTAATTTTTAATTAATAGCACAATTTGTTGGGCTTCAAGTATTATGACAAATTTTGAATACTATATCAAGTGTTCATCTCTTCTGGCAATATAATTCCACATATTTGGACGTAATGAGCAAATTGAATTCAATATTGAAATAAATAATTTGTTTCGTTACACTAGAGCAGTTCATATTGCCATAAACACATGTAAAATACTTACAAAATTATTTCGAATATTAAAAAATTTAATGTGTTCTTTAAAATAATTGACAATTTAAATTTGAAAATCATAAAGTGGTCGAAAAATTTTAATAGACTTGTAAACGCTCTTAATTAAAAATAAATATAAAATATGAAAATATTATACAGATTGATTTTTTTATTGCAATTGTTGAAATTTTTAATAAAAAATATCTTCGCTTTTTTTAAAATACTTAATTATACCCAAATTTATTCAATAATTTAATGATAATATTTTCATAATAATTAAGTGTAGTCGAAATATCGGAAATATACTGGTTTATTATTTACCCCTTATTTGAGTCGCTATAGAGTTCAGATATTTAATAAAGGTCAGGCCTCAACAATCTCATATTTCAATCATATTTGACAAACAACGTCTTGAATGCGCTCTATGTGCTTATAAAATGCAAACATTTTAATAGTATGGAACTTATCTGCTTTCGAAATCAAAACACATTTTGCGAGTACCAAATTCAATGGAATATTTATAGGAAAGAGATTATGCTGAACTATGAAAATGGAAAAAGTATTCATGTCTTCAAAAAATAAGAAACATAATGTAACTACTTTCCGAATTTCTTCCTAAACAAAAATAAACTTTTTTAGAAAAAGATTTCACACTTTATCTAAATTTATACAGTAAAACCACCATACATTTTTAGCTCTATACGAAGACCATCTTCTTCATAATCTTACAAGATTTTTACTGCCCTTGAACTGAGGTACATTTTTCGAACGATAAATTCCTCTTTAATAAGATCACCTTCATATTGTGTATGTTAACTACTAATTTCTGTTATTTTACGTATTAAAAGAAACTCTTTACATGGAACATTTAAAAAATGGTGTTCATTTGTGTTACGTCCTTTCTGTGGTCATCTTATAGAGGTTCTACTGCTTCAGCACAATGTTAATTAAAGCAGAAAATTGTTTAAATTTAAAATCTATTTCAATTTTATTCAATTTCAAATTTTTAATTCAAAATTAATTTTCTGTTTTCTATTTTTCATAATTTTTACAAATCAAAAGTCAAGAATTTTTTGTACACAAAATCATATTCAAAATCATATGCTATCACATAGATAATGTTTGTATGCACGTTCAGGGCATTTTACCTTTAGGGCATATTTTAATTATAAGTATAAAATGATTTCTTCTTAATGTTTTCTTACCTTTCATTTTTGAAGATTTTATTACAAAATTATACTTGTATATTATATTTAAAAAATTTCATTTACCTATCATTAAAATTTCTTGTATTTTTAGTAGAATTTATTCATATAGAATAATTTAAAGCAATATTAAAATTACTCTATTTTTCATCAATGCCAAATCAGAGTACACAGGATTTGTATGTCTGTATATACAAAAATTTATTTATAAATACTTAAATACTATATATGTATGTATTATTTTCAAAAATCTGCCTTATAGCACATATTCTTTTAATTGCTAGTTAGGTATATGTGTGTAGTTTTGAATAAAAGAATATTTTAAAAATTTTCTCCTTAATAATTTCATATTTGCATATTGCTCTAAATAATTCAGATATAGATTAAATTGAATATGAAGAAGAAAATTTTTTTAATTATATTAAGATAAATTTAGAAAACCAATACTCTGTTTTATCATAAATTTTGCAAATTTAGCAACAATTTCTTATTATTAAAAAATTTTTCTGAAATATACGCAAAATGAGCTGAACTTCTTTAAATGGTACTAGAGGTTTCACTTTGAATTCTGAAATAAAATAATAATTATGGTCCATTTTTTGTGTATATGATTCGACATTTTCTATTCTAATTAAGTGCATAATTTGATTTTTTTCAGTTTAGATGCAAATATTTTTAACTTCAATGTAATCAAATGCTTAAATTCTCTTAGCCTCTAATTTGATTTACACCAAAATATTTCAAATAAAAATAAAAAATTAATAAAATTAGATTTACAATTTTTTTTTTTCAAATTCGTAGTCAAATCAACTAAATTTCAAAGTATTTTGAATATTTGTAATAAAAATTCAAAATATTTTTTAACCAAAACTAAAATATTTTTATAATTTGATTTTTACATAGAGAAATTTTTGCAAAAAGTATAAGTGAATTTGATTCGTAAACAAAGAAGCTTTTTTTTATTTAGAATATATTTTTCGATCATAATTTTCGCAGTTTTTACGAATGAATATTTGGCACAATTTTTCTGGAGTTTCTCTTATTCAATAAGTTCTTCTAATTTGTTCCACAGTATATATATAGGTTGTTTCGCATAAGGTAGCAAATAATTTCAGGGGTGATTTTTCGATTAATTTCCAGAAAAAAATTGCATTTGTGGGTGTGCAGGAATACTTATTTTCGAACTACAGGCTGTTGAAAAAAAGGTACCAAATTTTTCCTGCATATAAATAAATGCTTATAACTTCCGAACCGTGCGGCACAGTGATCTAACCGTGCGACATAGTGAGTAAACCATCCATCACAGTGATCACTTGTGAACTATCGTTGATGATTTCACAAGCGATTTATTGCCCTTGATTTTCAATCTTACAATCACGTGATTTTAGCCATAGCTTTCGGAATAAATTCTGTCAAAATCACAATTTTCGTTTTAAAAACTCGAACTCTCTCGAAAACAAAACATTCATTAATACCGTTCAATAAATTGAATTGGTATGAAGTGTATGGCATTTGTGTTCTCCACTATAAAACGAATTTGAACATTTAATTTCAAAATTTTTATTTGAAAACAGGTGAACAGGTGAACAGGTGAAAACGTTTTAAAAATGAAGCAAATTTAAATTTTTTTTATACTGTACTGAAGGATTCTACATTATAAATTATGTATAGGGACTCTCAAGGGGATGATGCATTATGAGCTTATATAATTTTAATTAATCGATCAACGCAATGATTTGCATATTGAAAACTTAACACATACAATCTGTCCTTTAATTAGTTTAAAGGAAAACGAGTACAGAAGACTTAATGTATAGGGTAGATAGTGTAAAATAATATTTAAATTTTCAGCATGTAGCCCAATATGTAAATCACAGTAATACAAATGGATTGACAAGAAGATGGACAAATGGACTATCCATTATGTATATTTACTATATTTAACCCTTTCGACCCGGTTGGTACACACCAGTAACGATCAAGCATTGTATATAATTCTCTGTTGTATCATTTCATTTTTGTATGATTTGGCATATTAAATTTTAACGCAACATTTTTCATCATAGACAGTTTGTTTTATATAAAGATAATAGATCCCACATATGTGCTAATTACACTATTCGAAAGCCGGATCGAAAGGGTTAAATAATATCATATAAGAGTATATGCAATTTTTTAAAATTAGAAACAAATTATACTCGTATGTATATAAAATAAAAATTTTATATTATATATTGAAATTAAAAATAATAATTAATTTATTTAATATTTACCTAAAGGATCCACACGGAATATCATTTCAGGCAACGCTGGTGATAATATCATTGAAATAATTATTAAAAACATAATCCAAATATTAACAATTGCAGTTGTTGGATAACAAATATAAAATTGCATAACTACTGCCATATTACAATATAATATTGCTGCTGTTCCACTTACATTTAACTATACTTCCTATATTTATATATATATATATATATATACATATATATATATGTGATATATTTTAATTTTTACACTATTTCCCCTCAAACTACAATATAACAACAACAATATACACACAAAAATTTTTACTAATCTCAATATTTACAATATTAAAAAGGATATTTTTTTTTTGTTTGTTTTTTTTTCTAAGTATGTTTTTAAAAATTTTGTATCGTTACTTTGTAAATTTTTTTTTCTTTGATTTTATAATTGTTATACATTGTATATATGTACATTTTTTTTTTTTTGTAATTAAAAATGAATAAATAAAACGAACATTTTTTTGCTATTTCACGCGAAAAAAAGGCAAACCAAAGAACCAACTAAAAAAAAATCCAATTTTATGTTAGATGTCAGAAAATTTTATTTTGATAAAATATTTTTGGGTTCATTTTTGAACATTAATATTATTTTTTGTTTCATTATTAGTTTTTTTTTTTTATGTTATTACATACATATAATGTTTTCATTATAATGTATTCATTTTTGTTATATGTTTTTTATTTGTAATGTAAAAATTAACTTTTTTACGCCCGTATAAAAATAATATTGTGGAATATCGCGCGCGAATATTGTTAAGCATTTTATTTTAGTACATTTTACTTTTTGTTTTTCATTACAAAAGAACAAGCAACATGTTTTTCAACAATTTTAACATAATACATGTGTATGTAAGTTTATTGTACTGAAATTGTACTCATTTTTTTCCCTGGCATTCCAATACTAAATGAGAAAAGAAAAAAACAGAAAAAATAAAAATAACAAGAGAATAAAGAAAAATTATAGTTTGTGGTTTTATGAGGCAAAAAAAAAAAAACAGTGAGAGAGAGAGAGAACGAGTATATTAAGAAATTGAACACAACACAATCCAATTAGTCGCAATGCATTATTGAAGAAGACGAGCGACAAATGTGAGTAAAAAGAGTACGGGGAGAAAAATAAATGAAAAAATATTAATTTTTTAATTTTTTAATGTTTTTGTTTTGTGAATTGTATTGTGTTGCGAGTGAAATTGTTTTATAAAAGTGATCGAAATTATTTTATAAAAGTAAGAATGAAGAAAAGAGATAATGTCAATTTACTTCTTTATAAATATCTAGGTAGATTATGTTGTTCATTCTGTTTTCGTTTTACTAAAAATGCATATGCATATTCAAATTTAATTGTTATATGCGCAGAATTACAATCCCCTCTTATTTGCATTTATTCTCTTCATATAGGATATTTTACGAGTATGTCATAAAGGGTAAAAAAAAAACAAAGCAGAAAAGTTTTTAAAATTCGTTTTCTTCACATTTAATTTTTTTTTCTTGTTTTCTGCAATAACAAAATTCAATTGTTAAAGTTTACTGGTAGAAACTCTGTTAAAAATTTGGAACAGAGTAAAAAAAATAACAGTACTGATGATATTCAACTGAATAGCATAGTATGCTATCAAAATTTTTTCTTTTCATCTTAAATTGAACTCAGTAGATTAATTTTAACAGTATAACACTGTCGTTCCAATTCTTTCTCCTTCTATTTTTTTTGTTCTTTGTTCCCACTTAAAATTTATTATTATTTGCATTATATAGTTTTCATATAGTTTTCTCTCTTACATTGCAAAATATTTATTACTGTTCGTATTTATAGTTGTTGCAGCATTTTTTTTTTAACATTTTATTATTTATTTTAACTGTTATAATAATTTTTTTTGTGATAATTTTTAAGAAATTTTTGTAATTTTTTTTTTTTAATTTTTATATTTCCCTTTTTCCTATTTATTAATGATTTTGTTTTTTTTTTTTTAAATATTTTTCACTCACTATTTTTGTATTGTTCTTTTATTCGAAATTATTACAGTTTGTTGTCTTTGTTCTTCTATATATTTATGTTATGTTTCATTTGTTAAATGAAAATCTGACATATTGTTGTTTCCTATATTTGTGCTTGTTTTTGTTTCATGTTTTTTGTATTTTTTAAATTTATAACAAAAAAATTTTCAGATTTTGCGTTTTTTTTTTGGAATTTTTTTTTTTTGTTTATTTTTTTGCTCGCTCTTTTATTTATATTCCTAATTTATTCCGATAGTTTTTAATAACTTTTTTTATTATCCATTTGTTATTTTCTATATAACAAAAAAAAAGAACAATAAAGTTGAGGTTTTTTTTTATTATTAGTTGAAAATTGAGGGGGAGTTAAAGAATAAATTATGATTTAAATGAAAAACTATTAAAAATGTGTTTATATAACATTTAATTTTCTATGTTTATTTGTTATAGGAGATATTTTTTTTCTGGGAGATGAATGAGGTATGCTATTTTTAACAATTAATAATTATGAAAACAAATAATATTAAATAGGTTATTCTTAAAATAATTAGAGCAAAGAGTTTCAATGAAAATATTATTGATTTATAATATTATGTAGTTAAAATATTTAGTTTCGTTCCGAAGATTATTATAACTTACGAAGTAAATAACAAAGGTAATTTCTTATAAGCAATAATCGTATCAAAAACTCATATAGAAAACCTTCTACATTTAATATGCATGACTCTGAGCTTTAAACTTGTTTAAACTTAATCAAGTATAAAATTAGTGTTTTCGGACAGAAGATTATTGAGTAACGTAAGATTCAAAGACTATCAAATTCGAGAATATTAATGTATAATTAATAATTTTATTGGACGATATTATTAACAAATAAATAGATAACGTTTCAATTCGATAAGCAACAATTTTTTTGAAAAAATAATAAATTCATTTCTAATTGCATACCTTTGGGGGCATTAATTTGCAGTTCTTAGTATTTAATGTTCATAAGTAAATATTTATACAAAAATTTAAATTTATAATAATTTTTAATTGAAATTTCAATTAGGCAACGAAAATTCCCCATAATAGAAATTGAATTTTTGAAATTATTATACAAAAACCTAGCAATTAAACCGTAATAGTAAATATTTATCATAACATAATTTGATCAAAATTTCAAAATTTCACAAAAATTTCAAAATATTTACGTATTCCATAATGTAAAATATATATTTTATTAAAATTATGTTAAAAATTTTTACTAAAGGATGTGGCAATTTTCATTATTACAAAATGTTATTATTTATTTCAATTGAATAAATTTACATACTTAATATACAAATATTTAATTTTGCCAAAAAAACTAACAAAATTAATTTTTCATAATAATTTACAAACACATACGTTTGCATAGATTGTATTAAAAATAATAGTAATAGTTTTTAATAAATCAAAACCATAATTTAAAATCAAATTAAAAAATAAAAATGATAAACGTGAAAATTATGCTCTTCAAAATTTGCGTATCTAGCATTTAAAAAACACATAATTTGAAAATTTTTCAAAAATTTTCAATAAAACCATGAAACTGGATGATTTATTGATATTGAATTTTACAAATTGTTTAAATTAATTATTTTAATTATTTGGAAAATTTTATACCTTCTTGTTGTACAATAATTGATTTTATTTCAAAATCGAAGTTGTGATGCACATGAATGAGAAATTTAACATTGTATATGCATACAAATTAGGTTTAGGTATTTAAATCATCTTTTTTCTCCCTTTCCTTTGATATACAAAAACGCGAACCATTTTGTTATTCCCACAAACAAATAATATTTAGGTGAATTTTTGGAATCGTTATTTAAAAAAAAAACAAGAAAATTATGTTCAACAGAATATTTCATTAGATGTTAAGGATAAATTTCTCATACACATATTTGTTTATTACATGCAAACTTAATCATGCATATACAGAAATAAAATAATATTATAAAATATATTTTCTATACGATATAGATGTAGTCGTTTTGCAAATAACTGGTCGTGTTTAATTTCAATTACTTAAATTTTCACTTATTTAACGTTCCAAATTACTTTATAAAAGAGATTTAGATAAATTTTAATTGAATTTTATGCATTATAACAGTAAAATGTTATAATTAAAATTGCCAAGAGGAGCAATTATAATTTCAATGATGCATTCAACTATTATATAAATATGCATACATAGCTATATTGCTTTTATAAAATAATATTATACTCGCAGCTAGTAAAATAATAATATGTAATAAATTAATAATAAATTAAATTATTTCGAGCAATTTTAATATATTTATATTTTACAATCATTTTAACTAAATATCTCTTTTTTAACTCTATGACGTCAATCTTGATAATAGATGGCATTTTATTGAGGTTTTTTTCATTTTTTCAAACTTTATAAACCATTAAACCAAGTTGGAAAGACTTTCAACGCTCGAAGTTATTATAGTTTAATAAATAAGTATAAACAGAAGAAAATAAATTAAATGTATGAGAAACATGGATGACCAACATGCATGACCAACATGTATGACCAACATGCATGACCAATTTGCACGACCAACATACATGACCAACATGCATGACCAACATGCATGACCAACATGCATGACCAACATGCATGACCAACTTGCATGACCAACATGCATGACCAACGTGCATCACCAATTTGAACGACCAGCACATGATCAACATGGTATGACCAACTCGCATGGTCAAGATGCATAAACAACATGTATGTACATATAACCAACTTGCAAGATCAATATGCCTTGTCAACATAATATATGAATAACTTGCGTTTATCGACTTGCAGGACGACAGTGAAAGTTTTTTAAGTAGCTTCTCTTAGGAAGCTAAAGAATCTTTTACTAGGATAAATATTCTTCGTTTTTGTAAAAGATTCGAATGCAAAAACTTTGAGCATTAAAAATTTATTTACAAATAATAATTTTTATTACATGCAAAAAAATATTATGTTGGAAAGTGGAGAAAGCCGAATTCGTGATCTCTTTAATAAAATTTTGCAATTTTACTAATACATACATACAATATAATAATATGTATGTATAATGAATAGTAGTAAACAAATTTAAGAATTTTCAATTTTACCCAATTGAATTGGAAATATTTAAAACGAGAAAAAAAATAGAGTTGACCTTGTCAACTCTGTGATACCCGTACGAATTTGTTATCCTATGTGCGAATAACTAATGTACCATAACTAACTATGGGGCAGACTAAGGCTTTAAGTTGCCGTATTACCATATTAATTTATGCAAAATTTCAGTACTTTGTGTTATTCAAAATACTGGTTGTGCCAAACTACTATTGATGTGGTATGGCACCCACCAGAAAGAGCCAAGAAATTTTAGCGAATTTTATCAAGCACATCGGCCCTACTAATATATTCACTTGTGTGAAATCTCAATATCACAGCTTTTATAGTTTCTGAGATATAGTTAAATAACTTTTGAAGTTGTATGGCAGGTACCAGAAGGAACCAAGTAATTTCAACAACTTTTATGTGGCATATTGGCCCTACTAATATATTCGTTTGTGTGAAATTTTAATACCATAACTTTTATAGTTTCTGAGATATAGCCAAATAAATTTTGAAGTTGTATGGCAGCTACCCGAACCGGTACCCCGATCATGTCCAATTTAAATAGGGTTCTGGCACTTACTACAATAAATCATTTGTGAAAATTTGGTGAACTTAGCTCAATTAGTTTTTGAGTTATCGTTCGGACGGACGGACGGACGGACGGACGGACGGACGGACGGACGGACGGACGGACGGACGGACGGACGGACGGACAGACAAAGCTAAATCAACTCAGAATTTGACGCTGATCAAAAACATACACTTGAGTCTATATCTAACACCGTTATTTCTTAGCGTTACAAACGGTAAGGCAAATTTAGTATACCCTTCGAACATACGTTCGTACGGGTATAATAATTATATTGAATAGGGTTTTCCACAACCATATACAAATACAACAAATTTCCCTAACACCTGGTTTCAGTCATATTATTGTTCTTATTTTTTAATTTAAATCAATGTCAAAAAGATCATATAGCATTTTGATTTCTGTTTTATCCAAAATAAAAAAAATTAAAAAAATTATTCAAAATTTTCTCACTTCATTATTTTATAAATTCATCGTAAATTTTACATCACGGTACCATCTATATATAGCATTATTGGCTCAATGTTTCCATTTTGTATGTATACTTGTTTTAATGTATAGGAAATACCTGCTTATATAGAGTTTTATTTCAAATGGCAATAATTAGGTAATTCTATATACATTTTATTACCTTAGTCCATAAATATATGAACTTTTATTTTATTTCATTACATAGATCAATATATTATTTGTTTGTGTGTATAGATAAGGGAAAATTATTGGGATTTATTATTTATTTTTTGAATGAAGAAAAAAAATTTTAATTGAACAAAACATTTTCATATATATAAATTTCACCACAATTTTCCAACACAAATTATTATATATGAAAATACTTACACTATAGGTTTTGTATATTTGGTAAAAATTTTTCGGTTTTTCCACCAATATTGTGATCACTGGTTTGAATAAATTGTATAAAAAATATATATACGAATATTATGAATTTCATATATAGAGAATAAATTACGTGAATATTTTTAACAAAATAATTACCCTCAAAAACCGACACAAATAAAATTTTGTGTCAGTTCAATTAATTTCGTTATTGAAATTTAATTATCTTTTTTTGCCATATTGTTTCCATTTTTTGTTTTTTATATTTTATAGTTTTTTTTTGTTCTGTAAATTTTAAAATTAAATGTAAGAGAGGAGCAAATTTTACAATTTAAGTAATAGGTGTAACCAATAAATATTATTGTATCTATATAATAAATTATTTTTTTTATCGTAAATTGTTTTACATGACTAATTTTTATATAAAATTAATTAAGGAAATAATAATGGTATCAATAGCATGACGTAGCATGAAATTCAATACATAACTAATACTTAAGCACTGTAAATAATCAATAACCGTCATCATTTATTATTGAATATTTTATTTTTTAAACTCACATTTAAACTATAAAGTGCTACGCCACAATTAAGGCTCGTTTAGTTATATTTTTACTAAATTCACTTCTTTTATAAGTTTTTCAAAAAAATATCAAAATTTCGTGGTAATAATTTTTGTAAGGATCACATTTCACAATTAAACACCCATAATTTTCATTTGTCATGGGAAA